GTACAACCAAGACATTACTTTATATTATAAAAACATAACAAGAGTTACCTTAAAAAAAGGTAAGGTGTCCCTGAAAACTAGGGATGCACTGAAACCGAGTATTTGGGTGAGTAATGCTTCAATACTTACCCCAGTCTTCCAGTCAGAGGGAGATTTCCCCTGACAGCAGTGCCACGAGGGAACATGGAGGCAGCTTCCCAGCAACCAGGAAGCTGGGCAGTGGGTCATTCTGATTGGCTGGGAAGCTGGTTCCATGCTGTTTGGCTGGCTCCATGCTGATTGGCCGGGAAGCCGTTTAAAGCAGCAAGACAGAATAGTTATTTGTGTCCAACTGGCCTTATTAAGCTGTGGATTATTTACCAAGGATTTCATTTTGATTGTTGGAGCAAGTATGATTTGTGTGTGGTGAGTAGTAAGAGATCCCCTTGGGACTGCTGAGGTAACACACTTATCTCCTGGTTCAGTATTGCAACCCCTTATGCCACCTACTAAGCCTGCTCACTGGGCAATAAATCAGCATACCGTAGTGGCAGTGGTGAATAAATTACAAGATTGGCTTCATGAAATTAAAGATCCATTGGCAGGTTAAAAGATATATATACAGTTTCACCTCTGTATATATATATATATATATATATATTTCAACCATATTTAGCTGTTTGCCCACAGTTCCACTTTAAATTGACCATGTCAGTATATGAAAGTATGCCATATAAGGTGTACCTGTTAAAGAAAAGACTGAATACTTACCTCTCTCAGTGTCCACACCGCCAAATGCTTCTCAATTGAAGTTAAAACCCTGGGAGAAGTTTCCAACCATTTGGAAATGTCGATCTCCTTAGTCCCCTGCATCGCTCTGTGGCTCCCAGCGCTGACTTCCATGTCATGTCCATGTTCCATGTTTTAATTATTTAACAATCATGTTATATCAATAAATGAATTTATGAATTTTTATACTTAGCAAGAGAGCTCCTAGTATTTCTTGAAAACGCCCCACCCCTTAGGGTCTTGGCATACCCTTGGGTGGAATTTATTTTAATAGCTACCATTTACCAATTGGGGTGTGAAATCCTCTGTTTTTAACGCATACTGTTGACAGGGTAATTTGTTTTGTTGCAGGCTAGCTGGCAGGTGAGCTGGGGATTTTTTGTGTTTTGTATTGTTGTAAGCCTTCCCATGTGTGCCCTGCCATAAAGGCTGGTTATAGATTCATGCAGGTACCATGTTTTTCTAGTTTGACTGTTTTGGATGTGGGGACGCACTGGGGGTCCCAGCATGCATTTTTGTTTGCTGGGCCTCCAGTGTGTCCCTGCACCTTATAAGGAGGAGTAGGCTACCTCCTGGCACACCTGCATGCAATTTATCGACTGCATTAATATGCTCACACTTGGAGACTCGTATAGATAGAGTTAGGACCACACTTTGCAGAGGTGCCTTGGCGCGGCGGTGTGGCTTCTACTTATTTTTGTCCAAAAGTTTGTGCAACTAAAACCTCTGTTTTTAATGCATACCGTTGACAGGGTAATTTGTTTTGTTGCAGGCTGGCTGGCAGGTGAGCTGGGGATTTTTTGTGTTTTGTATTGTGTGAAATCTTGCTCTCTTACACACTTCTAGGTTAAAGTACACGCCCACTAAAATGAAATGACAATTGCCTTTAAAAAAAAAATTCCCTTCCATAGAAACATGCCCTACTCCTTTAGTAAATCAACCCCAATGTGCCCCATGCGGTAATACAAACTGCCATTTGTAAACCTCTTTTAGATCAAAATAGAGTCTTAGACAGAGCATTATGCATTTAAGTTAAATGAAGTGATTATTGTCTTATCTCTATGTAATTCATTTATTATAACACTGTGTATATTGATAATTTAACGGTAGAAGCATATTATTGGCATACCTCATTGCCTAGTACATGTCTGAATTTAAATCAAACTAAAGAAGAAGACTCCCATCCATAGTTACCATTTCTAAGTCCGCAGTTACTTGTGTTTTACAGCATGCTAGTAACGGCCACCCATGCTAAGGCTGACAGATGATAACTTAGCTCTTGAGTGATATATTGTTTTGTTTTAATGGCACTGAAAATGGGATCTTCGGATGTGTTTTTAGCTCTGGTGGAAATGTCAAAGCTCTACAGATTTCAACACAATTTAAGATTAAACAAGCAGCGAGCAGAGGCTTGTAAGGGAAGATCTTGTATTACTGTGGCTGACAGATCCTAAGCTCAAGATGAATGTGTGATACATTGCTGAGACATTATAGTTAATGGGGTGCTGAATAATCTTCTGATTTTATAGCCTTGTCACTATAGGTCCTCTTTGACTAACAGTACAGGAAATAATCTACAGTGACAGCAAAATACAGCATTTTTTATTTTCTAAAAATTTTAGATCAATGATTCCTGTAAAGATTTGTACCAAAAACCTAACTTCCCAATGACCCAATCTCATATTTGGCTATACTTCTAATTTGACTGATGTGACGGATTATTAGCCATCTGTTCACAGACATGGGCGTAACTAGAAATCACAGGGCCCCATAGCAACATTTTGTATGGGGCCTGTGATTTCTAGTTACGCCCCTTGCAGAGTCCACCTGAGATCCCAAACAGCCCACCTGAGAGTGACCCTGCAGAGCCCCCCATGGACTCCCTATGGTGGGCTCTGCAGGGTCTCAGATGGGCTGGTCACACCCCTGCACAAATCTTACCTGTCAGCCCCGATCCTCTGTCAGCCTCCTCCACCGCCGGGCTCCGCCTGCTCCTCCGTGGTCGTGGTCGGGCCCAGCCTCCTCCTTCGCTGCTGACGCCAGGCCCAGCCTCCTTCTTCGCTGCTGCTGGCTTTCAATTACTCAGAAGCGGCTGTGAGGAGGAAAGCGCAGCTGCACGGACTACAATCTCAATATAATTAGTAAACTAAATATGAGATTGTAGTTTATCACAGGAGTGAGCTCGGAGCTGTGGCTACTTTACAACACACACAGGGCCCATGTGGAACAAAAGTAGCCACCCCCCAGGAGGAGGGACAGGGTCAGCACCAATTCAGAGATGATTTGAGGATCTACAGCTGAGTAATACACAAATAAAGTCCAGTATTGTTAATATTTAAGGTACTTGAATGCATTTTTAAGATTTAACACCTGTGTTAGTGTCACTTTAAGTCCCTCTAAAACATTGCCATATGCTCTTTAGCACTGGGGTATAAGTCCTGTACTGTATAAGTAATATGTTTCTTGGGGTTTTTTTTTTTTTTTTAAATCTACTGCACATGCAGTTCAATCTACAGACAAAAGCTAACCCTACAGACAGAAACGATTCTTGCTTATTCAGACCATCCTTTCACATTATCCAGGGTGTGTGCGGGGCCGGGATAGCTGTCTGGCTGAACTTTCTATTTCTGCCCAACATATGCTGCATTCTTTGTGTGGCATCTACACCAAAGTGATTCTACTGCATTTACAGGTCAATGTGAGTTCCTAAGGCTTATACAGCGTACATTGCAAAGGAAGCTCTGGAAGCATGTAACTGGCATGTTTCTTTGTTGAGAACTTGTCTATATTTAAATAAAGGAGGGAGACTCTTCTCTTAACCCACTTTTCTTTGTCTATATATACCATGCAGCGAGTTGAAGCCCCGAGTCCCTGAACACAGCATACTTCTTGGATTCGTTCAGTACACTTATTATTACAGTTTAAATGCACGGCTTTATTTTTAGAGGAAAGCAAAGCACAGGAAGGACCAGGGTTACGGCTATTGAACTGTGAAATTGTCTTTTGCCACTATTTTCCAGGCTCACTTTTGTGTCTTATAACAACACAGCTATGTCATATTTAAGTGGCAGCCACTTTCAAAGAAAAGAGTAATACACATCTCATGTTTCATCCAGACAAATCATATTATAGGGAACTCAATGTGTTGGGGGAGGATAATCCATATTAATCATTATTGTGATGAATAATATAGTTTAGCCTTTCCACAGATGTTCCCAAATTTAAAAAATGGTTGCAATTTTTTTTATTTTTTTGCTTTTATTGTTATATCTTGTCTGGCATCAGATTATGTCCTCTTCTTTAGAAACGCCGCAAGAAAATTTCCTTTATATCTTTCACTTGAAATTTCTGCAACACAGACCTTTGACTGCAGTTCATTTTTTCCCAGCAACAAAAACGCTAAGGAACAAATTTTGTAGCAGACAAAATTGTTAGCATGGCATGGGCCTAGGATGTCATATTTATTTTTTGGTAATAATAAACAGTTGTCACAACCTGCCCTCCTGTTCATAATCCAAACACATAGCCTAATGCATTAGTGGCCTCTGGATAGGACCTGTGTTACAAAATTAGTCAGGTTGAAAAAATAAATTGAGTCCATCAAATTCAACCAATAGAGAAATCTCCATAAACAGGACCCTATGCCCATAGTTATCCACAGTTGATCCAGTGGAAGGCCAAAAACATATAAAGCATGGTCCAATTTGATCTAATAGGGGAAACATGTTCTTTCCTGATCCCCTTAGGCAGGGGTAGATAAACTCCAGCCCTCCAGCTGTGGTGACACTACAAATCCCATTAGGCATTAGCAAGACTCTGACAGCCACATGCATGACTCCCAGAGGCAGATGCATGATGGAATTGTAATTTCACCACAGCTGGAGGGCCAGAGTTTGCCTACCCCTGCCCTAAGGCAATCAATACCAACAATCTCTGGTGTTTTTTTACTTTATAAAATGATAATATCTAGTTATATCCTGCACATTTAGGCACATTCAGATTTTGTTTAAAACAATTAATGAGCCAGCTAGAACTAGTTCCGGAGGTAGCCTTTGTGTTACTTATTATTTGTATGGCTGATGGAGTATATGGTTCATAAAGAATCATAGGATTATTCTGATCGCTATATGGTGTAAAGAGGTCACCTTTCTTTACATATAATAATAGCAAAAAGATATATCAAAACAGAGTGCTATATAAAGGAGTGGGTGGGA